GAAGGGGAAGATAAAAGTAATTTTTATATTCTTCCCAATGCCCTTTAGCATTTACTTTTTATACTATACTTTTTTACTATGGTTTTGTTTCCCCCATTAAAACATAAGCTCTATGGGGTGCCTGGATGGCTCAGTTAGTTAAGCAAAGGACTCCTGGTTTCAGCTCAAGTCATGATCTCAGGGTTGTGAGATTGAACGCCACGTCAGGCTCAGGCAAGGCTCCGTGCTGAGCAGGGAGCCTCCTGAAGATTCTTTCTCTCCCTCTTCCTCTGCTCCTCCTCCCACCACCCTGCACCCACTCGTGTGTGCTCTAAAAATTAATAAAAAAAATTTTAAAAAAACAGCTCTACGATGACAGGCATCTGTTTCTTTTGTTCACCGCACCTAGACAGTGCCTGACACATAGCAGTCATTTTGATAAATATTTAAGAAATTCTCTCTATATAGTATATATATATACATATACATACACACAATCTATAAAAAGCATTTATGATATTAATAAACATATATCTATAAAAAGCACTTATAATATTATTAATCAGAAAAAATAAACATTATTTTAAAAGAAAATACAAATTCCCTACTATAGAATTACTAACCTAATTCTAACCTTCAAGAGTAGCAGTTCAGTTTAACCTCTCACTTTATCATCAATCATCCTTAATCTTGCGTGAAAATAAGTGAAGAGGTTGATAGTCATGACCCCTCAACTCGGAATTGGGGGTTTTGCCAAGGTTTCCAGCTGAAAAGTCAATTAGTAATTACTTGAACGTCGGTCACATGCGCCTGCATCAGGCACACTGAACAATCTGAACTTTCTCTCCCAGCACCCACCAGATGGCCACAGGCCTTTTTTCACTTATGTTGGCCCACCTAGGTTAGAGCCATCACCTACTGGTAAATGAAGATACTGCCTCTCCCTTGATCCCAGACATCAAATTAAGAATATTACCCTTATTGTTCTGTTATTATGGTTAAGAATATTAAATAAATTTCCAAATAAAATAAAGACCTTTCAGTCTAACAAACATATGACCAACTGGTAATCAATTGGCAACTTCATCTATCTAGAATTCAGATGGGAATTACTCATTCTGATGACTCAAAATAGATGTCAAAAAGATAAATACCTTTTCCACTGGAGGGTCCCCTGAACCTATTTATTCTTAATTTACTTAAAATTTTAACAAGATTGATTATCCAAAGGAGAAATCTATCATCAAATATAAGTGCCAATCATCTTCCAGACAGTTTTTAGGTGCCAGAGATAAACAAGAAAGTTACATTCTGATAGGGAATGCAGACAATTAAACATGGAAACACAGAAATAATAAGGTAAATTCAGATAGTGATAGGTACTCTGAAGATCACATTGTATAATATAATAGCACTGTATATGTGGAAGGGGGGTGGGCATCGTCAGTGATTACTAAAATGTTCTGAGAATTTATAATCTGAATGATGAGGAGGCAGGACTATACAGATCTGGGAGAAGCTTGTACCAGGCAGAGGAAATACTAAATACAAAGGCTCTGAGGCTGGAAAGCATTAGATCTATTTTTAAGATAACAAGGCCATGTAGCAAGAGCCTAAAAAGCAAGGGAAAGAGAAAAAGGAGCTGAGGTAGACAAGATCAGGTCCTACAGAGTATTGTAGGCAATATTAAAGGGTTTGGATTTTATTCCGGGCATGATAGGATTGCATGGGTGTAAGCAAGGAACTGTTAGGATCTGATTATGAACAAATAATAAAGAATATTAAGAGACAGAAGAAAAAAATATGAAAATCAGATATAATCTCAAAAAATAGTCTGAAGTAACTTAGGAAAAGGACCAATGTTCCTATGCCACAATCACAGGCTCAGAAGGTGTCTGTGCATTACATTCCAAATAACGGATGTTCGTCGTAACAAGCAGGATTTGCCAAGAAAACATGAAATATAAGGTATTACCATACATTTATAATAGTACTTTAAATATTTTATAAACCGTAAAATAGGTATCATCCAGAAATATGCTTTTTAGAATGGCAGGCAGAGTATATTACACCGTGTTATCTAAATAATTTACTTTATGTTTCAAGAAATACAAAGTTTTAAGGTGCCTTTAAAATAATAAACATATAAAAGTCCACTTTCTCTTCTTCACTATTTGCATTGCAACTATCAATCCAGATATGATTCATTCAAAAAATTTGTTTTGAAATCCACACTCTACCAAACGGCCAGTTCTTTTGGCATCATTAAATCTGTTCCCATCTGGGCGCCTGGGTGGCTCAGTGTAGTTAAGCGTCTGTCCCGAGCTCAGATCATGATCCCAGGGTCCTGGGATCAAGTCCTGAATCAGGCTCTTTGCTCGGCAGGGAGCCTGCTTCTTCCTCTCCCCCTCCCCCTGCTTGTGCACTCTCGCTCTCTCCTATAATTGATTAAAATCTTTTAAATAAATGAATAAATGAATCAGTCAATCAATCAATCAATCGGTTCCCATCTCCTCTCCACTCCTTGGGCCGTAGTCTCAGTTTTCTACGCTCTCTCACCAACTCCTTACTCTTGGCCTCACTAGATAAAGAAAAGAAGCAGGTGTTGTAAAGGTACCTTTTTTTCCCATGTGTAATTAGAAATAATGTATAAAGTGAACCTTTGCATTATGTGAATAAGACAGATTTCTTTAAAATGTACTTCTGGGTTTCATCCACAAAGGATTACTTTGTAATTGGAAATGTGAACTCAGATTTTCTCACTACAAGGTGCTAAGTGTGATCACCATCCTTTAAGGTGGTGACTGCCAACTCTCCCCGTTTTAAGTACATTTTTGCTTTTGTAACTAATAAGTAATCTATAAGATAATGTGAATATCCTGGTCTCCAAATATTCTTTCACTCAGTGATTTTTTACACTTATAATAACTTGACCCTTGAATAACACGTTTGAACTGGATGGGTCCAATTATATGCAAATATTTTTTCAATATAGTACAGTACTATAGATGTGTTTTATTTGTGATGCTCCTAAGAACATGTTCTTTTTTCTAGCTTAGTTTAAGAATATAGTATATAATACATATAATATGCAAAATACAGTAATCGACTATTTGTCATTAGTAAGGCTTCCAGTCAACAGTAGGCTATTAGTAGTTAAGTTTTGGGGGAACCAAAATTTATATGCAGATTTTTGACTGCTCAGGGGTCAGCAACCCTAACCCACATTCAAGGGTTAAATGTATACTCTTTTAATTATAAAGTAATAGTGCGCTCATGAGGAAGCTTCAAATTTAAAGGACTATCAAAATTCTTTCCTCGCCCCACCCCAGATGCTGGGTCACACTTCCACAGAGGCAAGCTCTGTTAACTGATCCTTGTGTATCCTTCTGGAAATTTCCAACGTATACACAAACATTTACATATTTCTTTTTTTCTTTTTACCACAAATAGGATCATATTACATATGCAGTCTTGCAACGTCATTTTTATGCTTTATCCTGGACTTCTTTCCTATTACTACATTCTTTTTAATGGCTATAGAGAATTCTACTTACTGTTATTTATTTAACTAGTTTAACTAGTTTCCTAAGTTATTATTTTTTTTTTTAGAGAGGGAAAGAGAAACAGAAAGACAGAGCCAGAGACAGGGGGAGGGCCAAAGGCAGAGGGAGAGAGAGAGAATCTCAAGCAGACTGCAGCACGGACACCAACATGGGGCTTGATCTCACAATCCTGAGATCATGACCTGAGCCGAAATCAAGAGTCAGATGCTTAACCAACTGAGCCATGCAGGCACCCTTCCTAAAGAGGATTACAGTTTTCACTTATAGTTTTATATGATATCAAACAATGCTACAATAAATACTGTTGCATACATAACTTTGCTTGCTTTATATGAATAACATCTGGAAGAAAAATTGCCAGAAATATAACTGCTGAGTCCAAATATATTTAATTTTTCTTTTCATAGATATTGCCAAATTTTCTTTCAAAATTGCATTAACAGCAATGCTGTTTCCTCATCCCTTCTTCCCCATCAACAATGGACATTAACAGGGGCGCCTGGGTGGCTCAGTCGAAGGCTCTGCCTTCGGCTCAGGTCATGATTCCAGGGTCCTGGGATGGAGCCCCGCATCCGGCTCCCTGCTCTGCGGGAAGCCTGCTTCCCCCTCTCCCACTCCCCCTGCTTGTGTTCCCTCTCTCGCTGTGTCTCTCTCTGTCAAATAAATAAATAAAATCTTTAAAAAACAAAAAAACGAACAAACAAAAAAAAAGATTGGACATTAGCAGATTCTTTAGTTTTTGCTAATATGAGAGGTGAAAGAAAAGCAACAGCTCATTAATGTTTTAATTTTTATTTTTGTAAACGAGAAAGCAAAGCATCTTGTCATGAATTTCTTGGACATTTGAAATCTTCCCTCTATGAGTTGCTGATTTAAGATCTCTGTCCTTTCTCTATTAAGTATTCCTAATGAAGAACAATATTCAATATTTTAAGCTATATGTTTGTAAGAAATGTTCAACGAGCTTCATTATAATATTGATAAAATATAATGATAAAATATTATGTTAGTTGGTAATCTGCACCTCCCCCCACAAAAGCTGTAGTTTAGTATATATTTAATTTCACTATGTTTAATACACCTTTACCTGACTTTTAGATCAAGAATAATTTCTAAATATGCTAGAGAAGTTCCTGTATTAAAATCTCCTTAATTCCTTTTTAAAAATTCTTATTTCTATGTATAAGTACTAGGAAGCAATTAAAAATTAAGAAATCAGCATATTGATCTTTAGGTAACATTTCAGAACCACTAATTTCATCTACAGTTTTTTATTTAGTGCTAAACGAAGAAGGCATTTCCAAGAACAGGAAAACCAAAAATCTAAATTAAATCTGTCTAGAGAAAGCACAATGCATTATCTCTATCACATGAGCTATCTCTTTCTACTTTAAAAAACAATTTTGCATAGACCTGGACTAAACAGTCATGTGCTGGAGTGTGATCAGAACTTGCCTGATCAACGTAAAAAGCTGTGCCTCCTCGGATCTCTCGACGCTGTTTGAGATCGGTTTCAGTGGTGTCCCTTGACAGGGCAATGTATTCAACTTCCCTTTTGGTCAGCTCCTGTAAAGCAGAGAGTGAAATTGTTTCAATATTAAATCAAATTCCCAACATATGCTTTGGAGCCAGTTATCCAACAATGTCACTACCCTAGAAGAACATTTTAAATCTAATTCTGAATGAAAATCCTCTTGAGTCTTAGCTTTGAGAAAAATGCAAAACATTGAGAATTAATGAAAACATGCATGTACCTCTCTCTCCTCAGAGCTCTACGTTTGCTGCATCCAATAGTTTACTACTTAATAATCATTTACTTCTTAAGCAATAATAATCAGTCAGATCTTACAAATCTTAGTATCTTTTATAGAATTCTTTTCAAATATCACGAGTGATAACTTGCCAACTTAGTTTTTCCACAAATGATAGTCATTTCAGTAAGTAATGTTCACCTTTTTTTTAAAGGGCATCTAAATTAATTTAGTCCATTAACCGATGTTTACCAACCATTGTGATATGTTGGGTTCACAGGGTAAATACCAATAGGAAGGTCAACAGAAGAGGGAAGGAAAACAAACATAGCTATTCAGGAAGGACAAGAAGAAGGATGAAAGAAGGAGGGGAAGGAGAAGAGGGAAAAAAGAATTCTTTCACACAAAACAAACACTTTTGGTTTGAAGGGGAAACCATCCAGAATTCATTTCTTTTAGAATAATTTATCCATCCCTAATGTCATTTTGCCCTGCATGTGACAATTATGTACAAAAAGCTTTTAACATTATCCTTGGTTTTACAATATTGAATTAAAAACAATGATGCTCTCCAGTTGAATAAGGCATACAATATGTTGTTATTAAACAGGAAGAACAAATTAATTTACTGACGTATAAAGAAGAAAATTGAATGAGCATGCCATTCATGGTAAAAGAGGATAAGTCCATACAACAGGATTTTTTTTTCCTCTGCCTTATCTCCATGTGATGTTGATAAAAATACAGTATCATTTTCATTTTGTTTTTATAATATATGCCTGTTCCCGTGCACCCATAAATTTAAGTATGTATGGAAAGAAGAAAACATTTTAAGTAGAGAAAACACACATATGGTGGTGAAGATGTGGTGATACCAAACAATATTTTTCTAAATAAGAATGAACTGCCCGTGAAAGCACACTTTCAGACTAAAGCAGCAACTTCTCTTGTTAGTGAATACCTCCTTCTTGCTTTGGGAACACATTGCTGGTACCATCACGTCTGTTTCACTGATTGGTTGAATGTGATCACTGGAAAAACCCTGTCAAAACTGGTTGACAAAGTCATACATACTCTTATTGTTAAATTGTACCAGAGTAACACCCTGAACTGCCACACTGAGAATATTATCCTCAGTCTTGACAGCTTCCTGAGATTCTTCCTCAGCCCAGACAAGCACCAAAGTCTCCCCTGCTGCTCCTTCCAAGGGATGGTCTGAGCAAGTTCACCAACAGTACTGGGAGCAGCAGATGGAGGAGGCAGCGGGGGTCTGTTGAGTTTTTGGGGGCTATCTATAAAATTCCTTCTATATGAATTAAATATAAAAGAGACACAGCTATCAAATTATTTCTACTTCATTTCTCATTGGTTCAGCAGGCTTGCCCCAAAATCTCTGCCTGTAAAGACTTCATCTACTCTGGATATTACTAAGCATAGGATCTTTTATCTAATGGCAACAGTACCCATTTGCAGGGTTTGCAAGGAAGCTTAGGCTAGTAAGCCTTCTTACATGTATTTCCACATCCTAAAGCTGCCTCGGCTCTGTTTCATAATTTAAAGTTTGTGGGTTTTTTTTTTTTAAAGATACAGGTTTCACACTTACAGACTTATATTGCATTTCTGAACCAACAAGACTCCTGTAATCTCCCAGCCTTTCTCATTCCACATTCCTAACAAGCTTCACAGTCTTGCCAGAAACAAAATCAAAGTGAGATACTGTGGTCGTTGTAATGAACCAGGTAGAGTGGATTCTCAGTAGCTGACTTGGCATTCATAGAAAAGCCACTTTTGCCTTGTTTATTAGGAAAAAAAGGCTAATACTACAATGACCCATTATACCTCACAAGCCGGTTCTAGGAACAAATAAGATATGAAAGGTATGGGCTCAAAGGAGTTAAGTTCTGATTTGCCCGTTGTATTTTTATCATTCTCACCCTACATGATTTTAGAAGTACCAAAATAAATCTACCACTGAAATAAAAGAGTACACAAAGTATATTTCAATAGCACAGAAATCAATTCTTTAATATCAAGTAACACAAGGAAGCTGAAAACAAAGTTCTTCTCTTCATCCTAAAAAATATCTTCAGACAGAACAACTTCATCTGATAGCATTCTTCCTCCCTCAGTAAAACAATGCTTATTAATGCTGGCAAAGTAGAAAAAAAAGTCCTGTACAATTTTTTTAAATCTGTGTTGAGATTTTAATATTTCAATTCACTTCACAATTGTACTCAGAGAACTACAAACATTTAAGAGGATAACAGGTCAGAGAGAGGATCTGAAGTCTAGCTCCATCATTTACTAGCTGGATAAAGCTCAGTGAGCTATTTAATAAACTTGTTTTCTCATCTATTTAAAGGGGAAAAAGCGTGTAACACATAAGAGATATTTTACAAACCATGGCCTCCCTTTAAAGACCATATAACATCAAAAAGTCAAGAGAACTATTTGACTTTATAGAATGTGGATCTCAGATAAAAGAATATTCCCTGAATAATATAAAACTGAGTTTTGTTTTGTAATCTCAGAGTTTATGATCCTATCTGCCACTCATTGCCTGAATTTGTATTTCTTTTTTATCAGAAGTTGAGAACTTTCTAGTTGCAGCAAAAATTTCCTAAAGCTATGAAAGATAAATGTACATTTGCTTCCCAGAATACTTATTCCAAACTCTTTATTAAACAGATCATCTAAATGAAATTTTTTTCAAGGAATGAATAATCCTGATATTTTTGTAAATTCTTAATTTATTTTAGAACATAACTAATCCAAGTTCCCTTAGGAATCCCTAAGAATTAATCAATTCTCACCAGGTACTGCATAGCAATAGAGCGTCGAAGAGGCCCAGGAGGTCCTATTAGAAAGACATCTTGCCCCAGAAGATCCTTCTGCATTATCCATCTTAGATGCTGAATTACAGATTGAGCCACAGAGTCTGAAACTTCAAGTGGAAAAAAAGATAAAATGAAATGTAGATCAGTCTACTACTTATAAATCTCCAAGCAATCAGTGCATTTAGTATATTAGATTTTAAAAAGCATATCTATCTATGTGTATACACACACACACATACATTCATTTATACATTCACCTGGTCAATTCTCACACTGCTTTACAATAAACCATTGTTATCAATGTTAAAACAGGACAAAGTTTATGATCTCATAAAGAGTCACATAATCCCACATTTAAAGCCTTTAAGAACATTTGAATGATCACCTGTAAGTGTCGCTAAAGAAATAAAAGTGATTTTCTAGGGCGATATAAGGCACTAGAATCATTACTTTATTACAATTTTATAGTCCAATGCGTTTGTTCTAATAAGGGGACATGATCAAATCCTCCCAGACAATTAATGTTTCTCACAGTCTTAAAAATTGAAGAAAACTATAACTTAAGTTGGCAATAGGTTGTGAGATCTCCCAAACTTCACAGTGAGAAGATTAAATGACTTAACATCTTCAAGTCTATTCTTCTATACCAACTCAGGAATAGAAGACTACCTCATTCCAATGCCCTTCTAAGTCTACTATTAAATCACCCATCAATCTGCTTATCTTCTGCCTAAGCATTTTATAAATGTTTGAATTAATATAATTAATTTGTGTTTGCTCATTTGTAAATCACCCAGTGACCCAGGAAGTGCATTCCTAGGTATCTAAGAAACACTCTTGCCCTTGTACATCAGGAGACAGACAGAATACTCACAGAATGTTATTCAATATAAAACTAAATATAACAAAGAAAAAGAAAACTTACTCATTCTTAAAAAAATAAAAATACAACTGGAGACTGGAAATGGATAAAATGCACATAAATGAATACTACATAGCAACAAAAACAGAATGAACTACCACTACTTCCAATAATATGTTTAACTCTTAAAAGGTATTCAGTGAAAAAAATTAAGTCACAGAATAAATCTCATATGATACTATTTTGATAATGCTCAATAAACTAACAAATTGAATTCATTAGAAATCCATACATATGTAATAAAACAGTGCTTGAGAAGCAAAAAAGCAAGAGAATGATAAATTCAGGATAATGGATACCTGGGCAGGGAATCAGAGAGATTCTCATGGAGAGCTTCAATGGTTTTTGGTAATATTCTAGTTCCTAAATCGGATGTGGGTTATAGTGTTTCCTTTATTATTGTGTTTCATTTTACACATAAACACATACATATATCCTAAAAGTCCTTTATATGTACTAAATATATTCCATATTTTTTACACTTTGTTTAATCACCCAGCAAGGTCATAAAAGAATTCAAAGATCAAACTAAGAACACTTGCCAAGGCTAAAGCTGTGCTTCCCCCACCAAGCCCAACAGCACAACTTTACAAGTGTAGTCTACCTCCTACTCCGCCCACAAAGCTAACATTTAACCATTGGAAAAATAAAGATAAATTTCTGATTTCCTTTATCATGGAGAAATGATCAAGAACAAGGTTTGGGGGACAGCCTGGCTGGTTTGTCATGTCACTGGGACCACACTAAAGCATCTTATAATTTCCCCAAACCAAGTGCCTCTATGTCTGAAAATCAGGAGACTCATCACCTAAGTGGAGGTGCTTGACTTCACTCCTGTCCTCTATGAATCCTCTACAACATGCACAGGGAGCATATTACCCCCAAGGGGGCAAAAACTGGTCCTTGGAAGAGGGGTTGAAAAAAATTCTTAATTCTTATTACAATGGTCTGTTGCCCACTAAAGGGATACTGCACGTAAAAGATAGATAGTATATCTGCGGTATTAACATTTCATGAGATTGGAGAAAGACAATTGGGGGGTAAACGTCCTTAGACGAGCAATAATGAAAAACAGATTGAGAAACATTGCTCTAAGACCTAGACCTTTGAGAAACCAAGAAGTTTCAGGATGCTACAGAAGCAGTTCACCTGAGACTGGAGATTCAACTTCATCTACAACTATCAAATGTCCACTTAAACTATTTTCTTTCCTACTTCAGGCCTAAATCCATCTTTGTGATGTATAGTTTACTCTTTTTTATTTCAAGATGAGTCAGTCTGCTTGCTGTGTAAGGGTGACACAAGATAAGAATTAAGAAGCTCTAACTTCTCTATCATAAACTTACACAATGTTCCCTATCCCACAGATCTACTACCTCTTCTTACACCAGTATCAAATACATAATTAAAAACATAAACACTTTTGGGATTTTTTTTCCCTTATGTTTTTACAAATCTCAGCTTACTTTGGCCACAGGCTCTCTCTGCACTGTTCTTAACAGTTTGGTGTCACTCCTTTGTATTTAGCTTTGGCAATGTGCCTGACCTTCCATTACCTGGACTTGACTATTTAAAATATGACCATTTCCAAAGTTCTAGAAGGTAGAGCCAAGTAGGTCTCTTCAGCTTCCTCCCACTGTTTATTATTTATAACTATTTGTAACTGTTCATAATTACAGTCTCCATTTAGTTCTATTTAGTTCTAGTCCATTTTGAATGCCTTGACCTTGGAACTATATACATTTTTAAGACTTTTTTAAAGCTGAAGGCAGCAGTTCCTAATCAAATGTGAGGTCTGCCCCTCACAAGTTGTCAGTTAAAGTGCTGAGGCTTAAGAATTTTTTTTTTTTAGCAACTCATGAAGAATCAATTATACCTATAATTACAGAGCAGTTTTATACCATATACTTAAGTAGGAGAGAAAGGCATAGTTATTTAAAGTGGGAACTGAGTATAATCCTGAGTATGCTCATAGGAGCCCTTCCACTCAGCATGATCCTCATGTGTTGAGAACCACTGGCCTAAGGCACATCTGACAATTCTCAGCAATCCCTTCCTTTACTCTTGCACTCAACAGTGGTTCTCATCTAGGGGCAATACTGCCACCACTCTATGCCTGCCAGAAGGCATCTGGAAATGTCCGGGGGTACTTTTAGTTGTTGCAAAGCTTTGGGGGATGAGGGATAATTTGGTACACTACTCACATTTAGTGATGTTAAATACAATGTCCAAGATAGTCCCATCCGCCCATTATGTCAATGGCACCCTTGCTGAGAAACACAGTGTCTGACGTTTTTTTTTTTTTCCCAAGGTTTCTGTTGCTTGCATACCACTAATGGATTATTTCTAACTAGTCACAATTAAGCCCAGAGGAAGAGTTCCTCTTAGTTTCCCCTAGCTTCTGAAAGATGAAATTGTCAGGGAGGCAAGTCAGCAGTGAAGAAGTTCTACCTTTAGATTGATCTGCTAGATGTTATGATATCTAAGGCTCTCATCACCACATTTCAATTCTACCTAAGTTTCTTAATACATATAAGCAGCTTCTGAATCCTGTGGCTGGCTTTGTAGTCTATGCTATACTTTCAATAAGACTTCTTTTCCTTTATTTTTTCCTTTTCCAATAAACAGTCATAATAATAGCAATAATTTATTGCATCTTTTTCATGTGCCAGGTAAAAATACAAATGATTTTCCTTTTTCACAAAGGATCTCTTTTAGAACTCACAACAACCCTAGGAGGTAGCAGACTATACTGTATCAGGATACAGAATCAGGCCAAACTGTTCAAATCCCAACTCTGCTGCCTACTAGGTATGAAAACTTCATCAGTTATTTCAATTCTCTGTACTTAGTTTCTCCATCTGTATAACAGATATAACAAATGTACTTATTTATAAGGTTATTACGAGGATTAAATCAGGCACTTAGAACAGTGTCTGGTAATAGTAAGTGCCATATAAGCATTCTTTAAATATTCATTACATACATTTCACAAAAATCAAAGTTCTTCAGGTGCTAGCATTTGTCCACAGTTGCTATGTGCATGAACCAGACTTAGACCTAAGCTTTTGAGTTCAAAGCTTGCACTCTAGCCATTATGTCCTACTGCCCCTCCCAAATCTTTTTAACAGGCTCTTTCTTCAGATCCAAGATTTTCCCTACAAGTGTTGACCTCGTGGGGGCTCCACTGAATTTAATGGACTTGCTTTTCTGGCCATTAATTCTATTTCTTAGTTTTTGAGGATGCCAGTGATACCATGTTTTACTCCTTTTATTGAAATTCCCAACTCATTTTGTTGTTTACACTATGATATGAGAGGACCTGTTTCTCTAAAAAAAAAAAAAAAAAAAACTCCCATTTTTACTTATTCATATTTTAGTTTAGTCTCTTTTATCAAAGAAAATATTTAATTTGTCAGAAAACTATATTAAACTACTGAGAGAAAGCATCATGTACTGCTGTATGGTGTCTGTGTTGTATTTTACATTAATGCTCAAAACTAGCTGTATTTTTAGGATGGCCTCAAGAAAACATGAGTCATACTTAAAAGCATTCCAGAAATAGAAACAAGATGTAAGACTGTACATTACGAACATCTGCAAAACAAACTGCCAAACTGCCATGCATAACCTAATATAAACACAGCCCTGCGTGCACGAGAAAGCCCTGACTTCAATGTTTTCAGGCACAAGATGCTACCTTCCAGGAGTCCACATAATGATAAACTGATGTCAAAATAATACCAGAGAGCTTGATCCTATATTCTAACATTTTCTTCTCTATGTAAAAATAAAACATCTGGTTCATGTTGGGCTACATTCCTTACTCAATCCCTAGCCAATACTTGTTTCAAAAAAAAAAAATGTGTACTATTTTTGCCCAGGCATATTCAAGAGCTTTAAAATAAGTCTATTAAAGGAATCCAAATTATAATTTTCTCCCTCCACAGACTTAAATTTGTCATACATGTAAAGATTAAAATTAAAATTTCAGAAAATTACACATAGTTCTAGTTTCAGTATAGTAAGTCCTTTAAAACTAGTGATGTTTTGTAATCATCCCAAGGGGCAACATAATATAATGGAGAAAAAAAAAAAAAAGCCTTTGAAGCCAAACAGACCTAGTTGTGATTTCTCATCCTGTCCTTTATCAGTGTCCTTGGACAAAAATTCTGAATCTTCCGG